ACACACACAGACACACACACACACACACACACACACACGACACAAACCTCCACACGATGAACGATGGAGGACAGAGAGAGATGTTGGGGGGGTCATAAATCATTGATCAGTGATTGATTGATCAATTGTGTGAGTTTGTGTGTGTGTGTGTGTGTGTGTGTGTGTCTCAGTGTCACACTTCAGTTTCTTTGATCTCTTTGATCTTCTTCTCTAAGTTTTGATTGTGTTTGACTTCAGTCTCTTAAGATTTGAACCGATCCACACGTTCATGTCGTTCACGATCGTCTGCTCGTTTTTTTAATGTTCAGTTTTTAGCTGTATAGACGTGACATCATCACATGGTCATTTCATGAATCTGGATTCAGCAGCTCGACACTCAAACCACATGTTGAGCAGAAAATACATCAACGATGGTTTTCATTGGTGGAAATATCACATGTTGAATTCAAAAATACTTTCTCTGTCAACAGTCTCCAGAAAATAATGTGATGTCATCAGTTCATCAGTTCATCAGTTCAATTCACACATTCAGTGAAATCAGATCATTATTGTCAAATCACTAATCATTAATCATTAATCGTTTATTTCTGTTCTGAAGTGATTGAAAGTTTCTATTTAGATTTCAGTTCCATGTCACTATTGTTGCTGCTGCCACCTGCTGGTCAGGTGCATGTACTTCATTCATCCCACCACTGACACAGCAGCTAAATTCTTGTTCTATGATGATTCACGTCCTCAACATTTAACAAGCGTCTGATTTTTAATGAACGTAAGAGTTTATCTTTCTCTTTTGTATGAATTATATTTTTTATTTTGAGATGAAATAAGCAACACTGATTATTTCTCTGCTTTATTTTCTCCTCAAATCAGATCTGAACATCAAACCTCTCAGAGTTCCATGATGTTATAAGAGTTGAACCAATCAAAGACTTGAATATAAAAAACAACAACTGATATAAAATCACACAAACTGTGAAGTCAGAATATCTGTGAATTAAAAAAGTGACGTGTTTCTGATGTTAATGAGAAAATAAAAGTATCGTCTTATTTTCTCCTGAACTTTTATCTACAAACGTCCTTTGATTTTGAAACGTACACAATAAAATACAAACTGCTTTATAGAAACAAATCTTCCTCCGACACGAGGTCATGGTTTCACCTGCGTCAGTTTTTTGTTTGTTTGTCTGTTTGTCAGCAGAAAAAAAAAACATTGGGCCTCATTGACGCAGATCTTCAGTCACTGTAATGATGTCATCAAGACCATCAGGATCGGCGCTCGTTACCCCGACGCCTGTGGTCAACCAGCGTTGGACGAGCGGAGTTTTGGCTGCAAGAGAAGATCGGATTAAACTGAGAGCAGAACTACAAGTTTGTGCTCATTTGCATGTTGTTGTTGTTGTAAACCTGTTGTCACCTGTGGTCGGTTGTTGGAACCTCCGATGAGCTTGTCTCTGTCTGTCCTGACTTCGCTCCCTTCCCGCGGCTGAGATCGACAGTGCCGCCATCTTACAGACACTGATTCTCTCCTTGTTGCCCCCAGCTCCACTGCCGGTGCTCTTGATTGGCCGGTCGCTGCTGCTGATGATCCTCCCCCCTGTGCTATTGGTCCTCCCTAAACCAGAGGAGCTGCTGATCCTTCCTCCAGCTCGGCTGCCGACTCTCTCAGTGCTTCCCATGCCGCAGAGTTTAGACCCACTTGCGGTGCCGCTACCCCCGCTGACATTCATCTTACCCGCAGGGCTCTGCGCTCTTTCGCTGCTGGTCGTCCTCCCTCCATCTGATCGTCCTGCACTCCCCACACTGCTCCTGCGTCCACTAGCTGAGCTGTAAACAGGTTTCCATTCACCACTGCCAGTGTAAGCGACTCTTCCAGAGCAGCTAATCCTGTGGCCGCCAGGTGAGCTGCTAAGTCTGTCAGCGCTATTGGAGCTGCTCAACTTACCACCGCTTCCTACGCTCCGGCTGCGCCTGACAACACTGCTTGAGCTTCCACCACTCCCAGCACTGCTAAGTCTCGGTCCACTGCTCATGTAGCTACTTAGCAGACTCATCACTTGGCCATCATTAGCACTGATCCTGTCTGCACTAGCGGCACGACTCAAACGTGGAGCACTCCTGCCATAAACTCTCCACTCCCCACTTCCTGCACTGCCAAATCTCCCCCCTGCTCGTGCAGGTGGTGGACTGGCAGCTAGTTGTGCGGCTGCTGACAGGTTTTCTACGCCCTCAGTATTAGCTAAGATGTAGCTGCGAGCCGGGCTGCTCATATGTCCTGTTCTCCCTCCATAAACCCTCCATTCTCCACTGCCTCTGCTGCCAAACCTCCCTGTCTCCTCTGGGTTTGTCATGAGGTATACTGACGGGCTTTCTTTGTTACCCTCACTGGGTAAGCTAGCACTAGCATCAACGCTACCTCTACGTCTCAGACTGCCTCCATAAACCATCCACTCCCCACTTCCTTGACCAGTAAACCTCCCTGTTTGTGTTTTACTCATCGCAGACCCTTCGGCCAATGACAGGCTTTCGTCACTTCCTGTGGTGGGTATGCTCATTCTCGTATCAACCAAACTGCCGCTATAAACCATCCGCTCTCCACTGACACGCCTAAAACGTCCCTGTGTTCTCTCATTAGCAGCAGCTTCTGCATTTCTACTCAGTACAGTCGATGGATTAGCCACCGTAACACTAAGATCCGTGGTGCCTCCTGAATTACTGCAGCCACCTGGACTCTGGACATTGTTGTTATCTTTGTACTTGTATCTGATACTTTCGTGATACAGAGCTTCGTCTCCAAAACTGCTTCGACCACCTGGACATCTGAAATCCAAGCTTCCCAGACGGTTGCTCGGCTGCAGGTCGCTCTCTTGATTGGTTGGTTCAGAATCTATGTGTGAACCATGAGTGTGTTTCCTTCCTTCTTTACCTTTAAACAATTTAAAAGTCAGACTCTCGCCGTCTTTCACTGGAGTGGTGCCTCCTCTATGTCTGCCCTCTTCTGGCAAAGTGCACTTTCTGCTGAAAGATAAGGACGGACTTTTCTCTTTTGTTGACAGAATGTATTTCTCGACTGGTCTCACATGTGCATTTGCCTCAGTCAGATTAAGACATGCTTCCTCATCCTCGTCTTCCTCAACATTTGGACTCAGGCATCCTTTAGTATCAACTGGACTCCAACATGCATCTGGTTCGTTCTGACTCAGAAGCGAATCAAGACTTTTAATGTGGTCTTCTAGATCAACTGGGAATTGGTCTGTTGTTGTCACCTCTGTCTCACCTGGGCTCAGGAAAACTTCTGTTGTTCTTGGACTCAGAAGATCTGTTGGACTTGTGGACACTGTTGACTCTGATTGACTCAGATTAAATGACTTAATAGGGACCTTGTCTTCCTCCTGGATGTCGTGGACACTGTTGACCGACTTCCTCATATTTGTTTCTAATTCGATTAACTTGAAAATCTCTGCACTTGTAAGATTGTTGTTGCTGACTGGGCTACAGGAGGAAGAAGTTGCGATAGTCGACCCTTTATCAGCGTCATTGATTTTGTTTGACGTGTCGGACAAAACTGAATTCTGATCGAATCTCAGGACAAGCAAAGCACCTTGTTGTCTTTCTTTGTCTTCCTTGTCCTCTTGCCTCTCTACGTCCTTGTCTCCTGAGACCTCACTTTGAGCTCCCTCAGAAGATTTGAGGCTCACTTTATCACTTTCAGTTTTTGATGGTGTCTCCAACTCAACCTGTGCAGGACCTGGTTCCTCGGCTTGGACGTGATGATCAGTGTGATCCATTTGAGATCTGGGGACAGTTTCCGTCTTTAAGTCTGCAGCATTCTGTTTGCTGGGGTCAGATGTCGTTGCATGTGTTACAAACTGTGTTGCTTCATTTATTTCTGTTTCATTACCAGGAATGATTATGACATTTCCTGTTGTTGCGGGATTTATCTGTATTGTGGAAAACTTGACAGCACTTTGGTTAATCCGACCCGTCAAGTTGTTGTGGAATGACTCAGTTAAACACGAAGTGCTAATCGATGGTGAAATCTTTGGATCTTTACTATGGAAACTAGTTGATTTGTTTGTCGTCTTTGTTTCTAAAATCCCAGATGTTTGTGTGACAGTCTGAAGATTTCCTCCCTGAACGCTGACGACTCTGTGCCACATGACTTTCCTGGAGGCCGTGGGGCTGAATGATGGGGTCTGCTCGGAGTTTAAGGGACATCTTGATACTCTGTGAGGACATACAAAGTCACAAAGAAGAACAGGGCTGAATTATTACTGAGGGTTTTGAGCTGCGTGATGTGTCAGGGTGATCTCAAACCTCTCAGGACTCTGTCCGTCCAGCAGCCTCTCGTAGTCTTGTATCTCAACCTCCAGCTTGCTCTTGACATCCAGCAGGACCTGGTGGTCTGCGGCTTGCAGCAGCAACTCCAGTTGTCTGCGCAGACCATCTGCTCTGTGCTGCAGGACATCCAGCTGCAGGACAAATGTCTCCGTTTGCTCCAGACCAGAGACCTTCAACAAGGTGTTCTACTCAGACAGAAAGACGGACGATGCTGCAGATTAGTGTCGCGTGGAGCACGGTCAATAACTTTGTTCAAAATGTGTCTTCAATATCTCTTCAATATCTGTCT